AAAAAACTTTCCCTTTTAAATTGATTATTAAATTTAGGAATGGCCCTTGTGTGTGGATTTCCTCTGTATTACTCCTAATCATTTTCTTAGGGGAGAATTTCAGTAAACTAATTAATATTAATCAACTCCAAAAAGATTTCAAAATTTTAGCATATTAAAAATAAAATTAAAATTTAAGGATGAAAAGATAATAATTCCTCTACTTTTTTTTTTTAAACAAATGATTAACTGTTATGGGAGTTTTGGTTTCTGGAGGATTTTTTTTTTCTTCCCAAAATAAGATGGCCAAAAGGGCGTTTGAGCCCAAGATCTCTTAGCAAATGAAAAAAAAAAGAGTGACTATCAAGCTAACCAAACCACCTAATTATATAATATAAAAATATATATACACACACATATAATACAAGTAGCTAAGTATGAATAAATAAGTGAAATCTGACAATTCACATAAAAAAAATTCAGCAATTTACAACCTAAATTCGACTATTTACAAGAAATATAATTGAATTCATAACCTCAAATACAAGTATTTAGGTATGAATGAGCAAGTAAAATTTTGCGATTTACAATCCAAATTTGGCTATTTACAAGAAATATAAGTGAATTCATAGCCTCAAATATGAGCATGTAGGTGTGAATAAGCAAATGAAATTTGACAATTTACAACAAAAATTATGTGATTTAGAGCCCAAACTTGACTATTTGTAAGAAATATAAGTGAATTGAAAATCTCAACTATAAGTATTTAAATGTGAGTGAACAAGTAAAATTCAGCGGTTTACAATAAAAATTTGACTATTTACAACTCAAATTTAGTTATTTATAAGAAATACAACCTCAAAAACAAGTATTTAGGTATAACTAACTAAGTAATAATATAATATAATATAATCAAACTTAAAATATTTAGAAATAAAGTGAATTCCACATATGCAGAAGGAACAACTTTATAATATTCCTCATATCTTCTTTATAAGTTGCTTTTAACATATTTTATAAAAATAAAAGAAGCCTTAAACCTTATTAATTTTATCTTAGAATTTAACAACTTGATAGCTTTATCCTTATTTAATATATTTTTATAAAAAAATAATTTGCATAATAATAAATAAATTAATAAATTCATATTAAAAATTGAATAAAATACCTATAGGCAAGACGAAAACAGTTTTTTCTTCATGTTTTATAAATAAGTCTCTTGTGAAATTGAAATACCCTTTTCTCTTAAACATTAACCAATACCAAAAAAGCCAAACTCTGCACAAAGTCCAAGTAAATTTGTTCATGTTAAAAATCTGTTTTTTTTGTTGATTTGTGAAATAAAAATTTGAAAGTATATAACAGATTTAAATGTTTTTATTTTGTATTTTTTTGGTAAAATGTTTGAAACACACATATCTGGGCAGGCTTGTAAATTTAGAAAAATACATTGCTCGTAAATAAGTAGGAAAAGTCATGAAGCCTCATCTAATTTCATGTGTTTGGGAAAGAAGTAATTAAAAAAAAAAAGGAGGATCAAGGAAAGAAACAAAAGGAACAGAGGGATTGGGGAGGGACCCACGACCGAAAGTTATGGGAAGGAGATTCCTTCCTACTAATTACTCTCACGTGGTGCAATCTCCTGTGGGTTAGATAATGTGATGATTTGTGAAATAAAAATTTGAAAGTATACTATTATGCCAGATTTAACTGTTTTTTATTTATTTATTTATTTTTGGATAAAATGTTTGAAGCACACATATTTGTATAGGATTGTAAATAAATAAGAAGGAAAAGTGATGAAGCCTCACTAAAGTAAGTCTTTGACTTTCAGTCAATGGCAGTAGCAAGTTTGGTAAAGAGAAAGGAAAAAGGTTGGTTCTTTCGTCCTCCACGCCTCCACTTTTATTGCAGTTCAGCATCTGTAGATGCAATGAGTGTGGAGAAGAAAGCGACATTGCTTCAACAAAGTATAGACCTCTGCATGATAAGATTTTTTTTGTTTCAATAAAACACATTAAAAGTGGCTAGTAAATAAAAAAATAAAATATACATTTGATCTTTTAATTTTATGTGAGGTTTTATTTTAGACATTTGATCTTTTAATTTTATGTAAGGTTTTATTTTGGTCCCTTAACTTTAAAAAATATATTTCTAGTCCTTTAATACCAAAATTATTAGTCTTAGGTAATGATTTTTTTTGTAACAATCATGGTTGTTTTGAATATTAAACTTAATATATTAACATTTAGTAATGCTTTATCAGTATTTAGGAGCTCAACATCATGATTTTTTGTTAAAAGTTTTAGAATTAGAGAACTACAAATTTACTTTTTAAAATTAAAGAACAAAAATGAAATCTTGTGTAAAATTAAAAAAGTAAAAGTATATTTTATCCTAAATAAAACTAGAGGAATATTATACTCCCTTTAGTCCTTATTATAAGATGTTACTCTGCCGGTCCTAAATATATTTATAAGACCCTTTTTGTTGTGTAATTTATATTATAAAAATGGTATTATATTTAGGACCAGAGGAGTACTAAAAACAGTTAAAAGTATTAAATTTGTTATAAAATTCAAGTGATTTCTATTATTACCTTTATTAACTACACCAAATTTTAACATCATATTAATTTTTTACCCTTCTACAACCCTTATTAGATATGGGTATATACGGAAAAAAATATTTGATGTTCGTTAAGACTACCATAGCCTCCTACGAAAAGGACCAAAAAATGCTACCAGATGACTTCTCATAGCAAGGACTAGAGGGAGTAATGTGTTCTCTCTCCCCCCCCCCCCCACCCCAACTCATGTGTGAAATTCCCTTGACTGTTTGATTGGCGCATGTTTACTGGACTAATAATCGGATCACCTTCTCCTATTCAATTTGCACCTCATGGCTTCTGCAGATAACCTGTGAATGGTTCGACAATCTAAAGAAAAGCTAATAAATGGCTTAAAGATTACTAAAATACGATACTCTTTCGGTCCTTAATATAAGACCCAATTCTTAAGTTGGTTTTGGTCTTAAATATAAGACTCATTTCTTATATTTATTAATTTTTTTTAAATTATCTAGAATACTCACTCAACCATAATCAAATAGAAGAGAGAGGAGGGTATTAAGAAAGATGATTATGGTGTTTTGGGAAAAATGTATCACTTTTCTTATAATTAACTAACTTACCTAACTTTTTTAATCTAATCAAATTAATTAAATGAGTTTTATATTAAGAACCGGATGAGTAATACTTTTCATATTGTTAGTGTACGACAACGGAACCACACCCGATAGCATGTCGCCACCACCCGATAGCATGTGGCCGTCAGCAACAGAACTCTGTTTGTTGCCACCATTTTCGAAATAATTAAAGATAATATCCAAACCCAATGATTCATGATTGTATTGGTTTTGTTTATATAAAGTATAATATATATTAAATAGAGATAACATTAAAAAATTATTAAATTTTAAATTAGAATTAATAAAGTTTAAAATTTTTTTGTTTATATAAAATATATTAGAAATAATTTATAAATAGAATTAAAAGAGTATAAGGGAAATTTTTTATTAATCTTAAACAACTTTCACGGTTGCGCGGAGCTTTTTAAGCAAAACCTTACCTTAATCTTTTCCCCTTTTTTTTTTTTACATTAAAAAAATCAGTTCAGTCATGCAGCTGTCCATTACTTGGTGTGGTTCAGCTTTACCCGTCTGTATATATGTACCTTCTCTAAGTACTACCGTGTGAATATGGAAAAAGCTATTCAAAAAAGGGAGAATTACATTCAAGTCCCACACAAGAGAATAATCACTACAAAGTCCCAAGTAACAACCTGAACAGCCTGAAATAACAAGTCCTACAGTGAGAATGACAACATCTGGAACTTGTTTTTTAATTACTTGGGACCTCATTGTAATTCTCCCTTCAAAAAATCAAAATTTCAAATTGGTTCTACTGTCTCTTCTTCCGTCTTCTTTCGCTGACACTTTCGCCTTTCTTTCTTGGATTCCAAAGCCGTGTTGAAAAAAATAAAGTGCTGCAGATTATTCAACTTTCCCCTTTAAATTGACTACTAAATTTGGTTATAAGTTTTAAATTTTAAAATAAGTATAATTCATTTTACAAGCTTTAAATTAAATTTGTTCTAAAATCTAATAAACTTTTTAATTTTGTTTTCAATTATTTATTTTTTCTCTTTTATTATACCCCTTTTATAACATTCTTTATACATTATACTTCCTCCGGTCCTATTTATGAAATCTTGTTTGTAGACAACTGGAGGTAGTATTTCATTCTTTCTTTCAATTATTACAAGGTGACATATTTAAAAATAAAAATATATTTCTAATCTAATTATTATTTTTAAATAACTTTTTATTATTTACAAATTAGTTATTTAAAATTTATAATTAATAGATCAATTTGGCTTCTCCAAACACATCAAACAATCCTCTTAACCAAGAAAGTAATAATATAACCAGATGTAAAGAGAATTTCACACATGAAGAAAATATAGCTTCATAATATTTCTCATAGTATGTGAAAATAAAATAATTAAAGAATTAAAACTCCTCCAAACACATCAGACACTCGCTGTCATGATCTAAGGACACGGAACTAGATGTTTCTCGTAAATAAGAAGGAAAAGTCATGGAAGCCACGCTACTAAAGTCAGTCTTTGCCTCTCAGTCAATGGCAGTAGCAAGTTGGGTAAAGAGAAAGGAAAAAGGTTGGTTCTTTCGTTCTCCAAATCTCTCCTTTTATTGCAGTTCGTCGTCTTCAGATCATAGCAGTGAGTGTAGAGAAGAAAGCGAGATTGCTTCAACAACTTTCATAGCAGTATGGATCTCTGCATAATGAGTTATATAGATCTACACAAAAACTTCTCTTTATTTCACCTCACTCGTTTTAATTTCACACCTTTGATTCATTTTCTTGTTTTCCTGATATGATCATATGTTGTTGCAGATTATTATTCTTTTGGCCAAAACGAAAAGACTGAACCCCTGCAATGGCACATAGTGGCAGAGGAGAATCTTCTTCCAGCTCTGGTCCTTGTAATTCACCTCCTAACTGGAAATATGATGTGTTCTTGAGTTTTGCAGGAAAAGACACTCGCTTGAAGTTTACGAATCACTTAGATGAAGCTTTCAAAAGAAGTGGCATCAAAACTTTCAGGGATGATGTAGATCTTGAGAGAGGGAGAAACATAAAACAGAGTCTCTTTCAAGCAATTCAGCATTCTCTGTGTGCAGTCGTTATTATCTCAAAAACTTATGCAAATTCTAAATGGTGTTTGGATGAGCTTCAAGAGATTGTTGAATCTCAAAATACAAATGGTGTTTTTCCAATCTTCTATGACGTTGACCCAGCCGATGTAAGGAATCAAAGAAAAAGTTTTGGGAAAGCCTTGGCTAAACATGAAAAGAGATTCAGAAGAAACATAACGAAAAGTGCATAATTGGAGAAAGGCATTGTGTGAAATTGCCGGCTTATCTGGTTGGGACACCAGGGGCAGGTAAGTTTTCTTTTTACAATCCTTTAATCTTATTTTCCATATTCATTTGAGGCACGGATGATACTCTCCCATTAATAATAAAGCATATCTAACATATTCAATTTCTTAAATTTACATCAAGCTTCACTTTACTCTCTTAAATTTAATAAAATTAATTTTAATCATTTGGTTGGCAAAAAACTTTTAGTCCTTTAAACTTAACACTAATAAAAAATATTAACTCAATCATTTTAAAATAATAACTTAATATTAAAATGCTCAGATATCAATTTTTAATTTAAAATATTTAAATTAAAAATATTTAAAATAAAACTTTATTTTTCTTAGTAATTTTACAATGTAATAATTATGAAATAAAAAAATTTTCCTTACTTTTTATCGTGGAAAAAAAATTATCTAATTAATCTTAAAATTTAAATCATCTGAAAAGTTATAATTATTTTAAAGATTAGTGTTATTATTAACTTTTATGCTAAATCTAATATCATAATTTAAAAAGCTACATAAAAATTAATAAGTCGTAATTTAAGATATTTTTAGATTAATAATTTTATGAAAATTTAAAAGTAAATCTTATAGAACTATGTTAGAAAATTCGACCATAGGAAATAATTATGTTTGATGGCATCTTTAATTAGGTTTTATTTTATTTTTTTTAATTTACATATTTTAAATTAAAAATTAATATATCAATATGTAAATGCTGAATCACCATTTTGAAACTGTTGAGTTAACATTTTATGTTAACAAGGTTAACAGTATTAAATTTAATGGACCAAAAATACACATTTTAAACTTGTAATACTGAACTGAAACTTGAAATAAACTTAAAGAAGTAAATATATACTTTAAGCTTTTTGCCAACATATTTATTATGTTATACTTCAACAAACGCTGTGCAATTGGTTAATTGAAGTATGGATTACTGATTCTGTTAATTTTAATTAATTTTTAATGTATTAATTATAAGTAATATTCGTTTACATGCGTTTACATTGTATATAATAATTCTTTTATAGCTTACATATATTAGGATGAGAAAATTATGTTGAAGAACCTATCTCTAAGTCAATATTGTTTTTCTTTGACCTTGTTCAAAATTTATTTTTTTGTGGCCAAAAGCTCAATTTATTTTCAGGCACCATAAAAACTATAATTATATTGAACGAACAAAATAAACTAATTAACATTCTTATCGTCGTAAAAACTGGTGGTACTTTCATATCCCTTCCCCTATAATTGTCGTCCTGAAATTTAAATCTATTCATCAACAACATACCAATCAATGTTTTTTCTCCTTTTTAAAATCTTTTATAGACATAGTCAATTGCATATAAAACTGTTCATGAAATGGGATCGGGACAGGCTCGGGAAAAAGGATGGGATGAGATTTCCGTCCCATATCTTGTGGGATTGGGATGGTATGGGACGTCCCATTTTTTTTTATAAAAAAAACCATTATAATTTTGGGATGAATTTTTTTATGTTATAATGTTTGTTTTTTATTGGGTTTCTAAAGATAAAAACATTATAAAAAATATTATATAGAAAGCTCAATTATATAATGTAACGAAGGTATAAAAACAATACTGTAAAAAAAAATACCGCAAAATAAATACTATATAATGGCTTTATGAATTATTTATTAATGAAAAAGATTTTGTTGAGATAACATTGCAAGTTAAAAGTGAAAATCACTACAAAAATAATTATTATTAATAAGTGATTTGAATAATCTAATAATAATTATTAATAAATAATTAAAAAAAAAGGCTCTAGGATGGGACGGTACGAGTTGAATATCCCAATTGTGTTATTCTGTGCATAATATACAATTTTTTTTCTTCCCAAGCACATGTAATATTTATAGCAAAATTAGGCACCCAACTCCCTAATAGTACGCGGCTAACATTACAGTCCTTCAAAATTACTCCTCCGGTCCTAAATATAAGACCCTTATATTTTTAAATTAAGATCCTTATATATATGTAAGGGTCTTATATTTAGGAGCGGAGGAGTATAAATTTAATCAAACCCAACAATAATTATCAGTCATCGTTCTCAGTGTAATTTTTTTTTATTGTTTATTTGAAATTTCTATAAGCATTTCCCCTAACTTTCAGTGATTTTTATAAGAAATATATTCTCTATAATGAAATCCGCTGCAGCCTACTATTTAATTATCTTCTCGGTAATATATGAAGTCTCCTAATGATAAGTTTTCTTTTTCATTTGTTTTCTTTATGAAGATTTTGTTTGACTTTATATTAGAAGTCCCTTTATACTTGTGAACAATATCATTTAAATTTGTGAGGAGCGCTATTTCCATTGTGACAACAGAAAATTGGAAGGCGTCATTTTGATCTGTTAAGAGAAAAATCAAATTTTTAAATGATGAATGGATTAACCGAATGACAATTCACATTGATAATTAAAAAGTTGATGAATACAGACACAACAAAATTATGAATAATTTGATTGTCTTTTGGGTAAAATGATCACATTTCTAATTTTAATGAGCAGAACGATCAATTCTTATTTGCTCAACAACTCCCTGTTATGTTAAAAATACTCGTGAAAAGTCACATTTTTCATTATTATTTTAATTTGTTATGACTATATAACTCATGTTCAACAATGTTATATATATTTTTGATAGGCGTGAAGCAGATCTTATAGAAGAAATAGTCAGAGAAGTATGGACTTATTTACTTCCTAAATTACCATCTTATGGTCACAATCTGGTTGGGATTGAGTCAAGAGCGACTGATATGATATCATATTTGGAGATTGGGGTGGATGACATGCGTTTTGTAGGGATATGGGGTATGGGTGGTGTGGGTAAAACAACTCTTGCTAAAGTTGTTTTTGAAAAACTATCCCGCAAGTTTGAAGTGTGCTGCTTTCTTGATAATGTCAGAGAAACATTCAAAAAAGAAGGCAACGTCGTCTCTTTGCAAAAAAGGCTTCTTTCTCGTCTCCAAATAAAATACATGGATTATGGTGAATATGAAGGAATGGAGATGATAAGAAACCGTCTCTGCAATAAAAAGGTTCTTCTAGTCATTGATGATGTAGATCATGAGAATCAAGTAAATAATTTGGCTCAAAGTCCAAATTGGTTTGGTAAAGGAAGCAGAATAATTTTTACAACAAGAGATAAGCACTTGCTCATCTCATCTGGAGTAGATGAGCAAAGAATATATGAGATGAAAACCAGGAAGGAAGGTGAAGCTCTTGAACTCTTTTCAAACAAAGCATTCAACGAAGGCCATCTTCCTGATGAGGATTATTTGAAGTTATCTAAATCTGTAATTGAATATGCACAAGGTCTTCCTTTGGCACTTACAGTTTTGGGTTCTTTTCTTCGAAGAAGAAAAAAAGCTGTTTGGGAAGATACTTTAGATAAATTGAAGAAAAGTTATCTTGCTAAAGATATTTCCCAAGTGCTTAAAATAAGTTATGATGGATTGGATGAGAAACAACAGGCAATATTTTTAGATATTGCTTGTTTTTTCAAGGGTTGGTTGAAAGAAGAAGTGACTCAAGTGTTGGAAAGTTGTGGTCTTAACCCAGTCGTTGGAATAGATGTCTTGATTGAAAGAACTTTACTAGTTGAAACGAAAGATTCTACATTAGAGATGCATGATTTACTTCAAAAGCTGGGTAGGAATATAGTTCATCAAGACTCACCCAAGAATGTTGGCAAGCGTAGCAGGTTGTGGGAGTTTAAGGACATCAAGGAAGTATTGGAAAATAACACAGTGAGTGCCATATTTTCTAAATATCTCATTTTGTTGACATACATTTAATGTTTTTAATATTCTTTACTTCCTTATCATTCTCATATTATTTTTCTTGCAAATGACATTTTTATTAGGGATCTGAGGCAATAGAAGCTATTTTTATGCAAGGTTTGTTTGAGGACAGGCAAGATAAAATAGAAGTACATCCTGAAGCCTTTTCAAAGATGAGTAACCTTAGGCTCTTCTTATGTACGATGGGTGGCAATCCGTTCATGTTCCCCGGGGAATGGAAATTTTTGGCTGGTGCATTAAAAGTTGTTGAATGGTCATATCCTTTGAAAGCTTTTCCACCTGAAACTCAATTGAATGAACTTGTTGAAATGCGTATGTCATATAGCAAAATAAAGCAACTTTGGAACAACAAACAGGTGAGATTGATGTTTCATGCATCATTGTTTATCTTAAAATTATATCTTTGTGTCCATGTTTTATTGATATATTGTTTAGTTAGGTTGACTCTACAATCTTTTGTTTGATTCCAGCCTATGACAAAGTTGAAATCTATCAAATTGGCAAATTCTCTCAATTTGACTGAAACTCCAGACTTATCAGGTGTTCCAAATTTAGAACATTTACATCTTGGTGGATGCACATCTCTTGTCAAGGTTCATCCCTCCCTTGGACAGTTGAGAAAGCTTGTTGAGGTGGACTTGAATAATTGTGCAAACATTGAAATCCTACCAAAAAAATTGGAAACAAATTCTTTGGTGAAGTTAAACCTTAGGGGGTGTAAAAAAGTTGCAGAGCTCCCAGAGTTTGGGAAAGGTATGGAAAAAATATCATATCTTGATGTGGGTGCTACTTCTATAACAAGACTTCCTGAATCAGTTGGATCCTTGACGGGTCTTAGATATTTAAATTTGAGTGGCTGCAAAATTGAAAATCTTAACAAGTTGTTGAAGACTCATGTAAGTCACCAAATTTCCAACTTGAATGTAACGTTCTTAACGGAGTTATATTTAAGCAGGTGTGGCTTAGATGATGGATCAATTCCTGATTTTGACAGTTTATCATCGCTCATTATATTGGAACTAAGTGGTAATGATTTTGTGAATCTACCCATTGGTTGCTTCTCTGGTCTTTCTCGACTTGTCTCTCTTTCGTTAGATTGTTGCCGAAGCCTTACGTCATTGCCAAGGCTTCCACCACGGTTGATTCGATTAAATGCCTCCAATTGTGATTCAATGGAACCTTTATCATCAGATGGACAGTTATGGAATTTGGTTGCTTCACTTGACCATGAGGTATACGTTTCTCTTCCTACAGCCTGAAATGTGTATTTTCCCCCCCTTAAAACTGCAATTAAATAACATGACTAATTTTTTATTTCAGTGTCGTGGGCGAACTAAATATGAAATCTATGATGATGAGGAAGATGCTGATTTTGTGCCATTCAAGGTATGTATCTCTTATTTTTGTGTTTTTTTCCTCACATATGCTCCCTCCATGGGTAATTAATATTAATAACATATAGTTTGGTATGTTTGCAGGCAGGTAAAAGGCCTCCCCCACTGAGAGATTTCTGTGCAATTCTTCCAGGATACGAAATACCATCATGGTTTCCAACTAAAGAAGATTGCCCTTTCGATAAGTGGGGGGAATACGAGATGAAAGTGGACATACCTCCATATTTTCGTGACAGTGAATGGTGCGGAATTGTTGTGTGCTCCCATATGTCAGCTTATGGTGATGGTTTTTGGGACGTTGGTTGGAGTAGTAAAGCTGCAGAAGATGATGATGATTATAAACCCAAAGGGTGGGAGCATGATATTCCTTTCTCCATTTCCGAAAAGCAGTGCATAATGGTGTTGGAATTAAATGAGGAAACATGTTGGCGGCACCTAAGAGCTCATCATAGCAATTCCCTTCACATTCTACTTTCTGTTCAACCACTTGGTTACGATATAGAAGTAAAGGAATGTGGGTGGAGAGTGATACGTAAAGAAGAGATACAAGATTGGTGCCATCTTAATGGTTTCTTCAACCAAGCCACCCAACCCCAGCTTGCTTCTTCTGATGAGGTCAAGCTTCCGCGGAGAGCACTTAAAGAATTCTTTTTGGGGGAGATGTATTTGAGTTTCTGATTCAAGAACCAGAGAAAAATAGACGAATAGGTAACAATGACTCATCATCTTCCTACTCCTTCCATTCTAATATAATAGTTGTCACTCCAGATATTTGTCTTTGTTTCAAAATTTTTTGTCATTTGATGAGGTTTTCAGAAAGAAACAGAATTTAATTAATTACCTTATCACAAATGAAAACTAAGCGCTTGTTAACATGAATAAAGGCATTTAATGAAGTGAAATACCATTGCATTTTGGTAAAATCTAAATCTTTTATTATTTTCGTCAACACAAATCGAAAGTGATAATTCAACAGTGAAGAAAATCATTTTCTCTATAAAAAAAGAACACGTCAAGCTCCATGTGCTTTACACGATGATGTAGCAGTGGATTTCATGAGAACAGTAACTAAATTGTAAGCGACATGCATGAATCATTCCTCTCATATACTTGCGGGAATGCAAACACAGGTGTCAATAACATAATCATATGACTTACCATAATAAACTAGAAAAAAGAGGACAATAAAAAGAACCAGATTTATGAACACAGAGTGAAGCTTGGAAACCTTCAATTTGGCTGGAAACACCCTCCCCCGTTTCCAATTTTGAAAGAGAATAGGATCCAAGTTCCATGCATAACTACAAGTTTAAGTTAGTACATAAAACTATACGACTTGACTAGACAAATTAGATAAACTGATTTAATATTGATCATATCAAATGGCAATAGAATATTTTGGTATATAACGTGTTGATATATCACTTGCAAAGAAACAGAACATTTAAAAATAAAGTAAAATAAAAAGACATGCTTCAATGTGCGTGAGCTATTTGTTCACAAAATTTGCTATGTGATTTATATAACAACTTTTTTAGGGATTAAAATTTCCCTTCTCTTCTTCTCCCCTCTATTTCCTTCACATCCTAAGAGTTTTTAGAGATAACGAAGGAAGATATATTCACCATAATATATTTCTTTATGTCATATAATCTTAACCCGAGCGCCTTGACTTGTAAAACTCGAGAAAAGACCATATCCTCCGTTTAGGAGAGCTTGAGGACTCCTTGATCTCCAAGGACGCTATATGCCATTATTGCAGGTTTTTGGCCTCTTCGTTTGTCGGTCCCAATGCTGATTTTCAACAACATAATCATATATATTACTTACCATAATAAACTAGAAAGAGGGGGCAAATAAAAAGAACCCAGTTATAAAATTAAACTATGCCGGATCTAAAATAATATACAATGAACAAAATTAATTATAAATAAGGATATTAAAGGATTTTAAATTTATGAAATTGATGACTTTGGTATTTTTCAAAAAAAGAAAAAGAATAAAAAGTTTCACAGCCAAAATACTCCTTTGCATCAACAGCTGAATTTGGATGTGTCCTTTGGTCGTAACTTTTTTGTGTGACATGTAAACCTCTTTTCAAGAAAAAAGTTTGTTAATAAATTAATGTAAAGAGATCTGAATTGTGCAAAATAAAATTTCCTATCTTCTTCATTCCCTTTAACGGGGAAGCATGCACGCCATGCAATATCTTTACAATGAGCTTCGTTACATAATCACATGCGAAACGGAGCTCCAATATCCGAAAATCTTATCCAAATTTCATGTATTTAGGAATAAGGTATTTTTTTAAACTAATACTTAATAGGAGCAATTGCAAATAAGACCCCCGAATATGTAAAATTATGATTTGAGACCCTAAATTTGAAAAATAGTAAATAAGGACCCGGTTCCACTTTTGCAAATATGAAATGTGGGTGAAATGTGTAAAATGCCCCTCAGCCAAATTGTGATTTGGTTTACTGAAGTTGTCATTTGCTAAAGTGAACTTGTCATTTCTTATAGTTAACTTGTCATTTGGCATACTCTCACCTAAGTTGTGATTTGGTCTATTGAAGTTGTCATTCGCTAAAGTGAACTTGTCGTTTCTCATAGTCAACTTGTCATTTGACTGAGGGGCATTTCAGACATTTCACCCACATTTTATATTTGCAAAAGTGAGATCGAGACTTTATTTGTTATTTTCCAAATTTAAGGTACCAAATTGTAATTTTATATATTTGGGAGTCTTTATTTGCAATTTTCCCTATTTAATATTTTAAAGTAATTTTTTAGTGTAATTTTACTTTTGAAATTTTCAGAGTTATTTTTTTTATCACTCATTTTCCTTTTCCACATCTTTAGTACCAATTTTCCATATTTTTTTGTACTGAGTTTTTTTTAATTTTTTTCATTTGTCATCTTGAAAATCTTTTAGACTTATCTTTCATATTTTCAACTATAATTTTTAATTGTTTTTATTGCTTAGTAAAGACTTCCCAATTTTTCAATAGTCATCTTAAATTTTTTCAATATTTATCTTCCATGTTTTCAATGCAAAATAATTAAAAATTATGATTAAAAACATAGAAGATATGTTTAGAAAATATTAAAGATGATTACCAAAAATTAAAAAAACCTAATTCTTAAAAATACTATAAAAATAGAAGTTTAGTATTAGAAATATGAGGAAAATGTGGTAAAAATTAATTAAAAAGTACTTTAAAAGTAAAATTGCACTAAAAATATTATTTTAAGGTGCTGAGCGCTACTAAAAGATACTCAACGGTGGTAGATGTATTTTTACTTATTGAATTTTTGGGAAGTTAACGGTAAAGTTAAAATTACTCTTTTGGAAATATAATTAAAATTAATAATAAATAAATTAAAATAGATTCTATTCTATATTTACATAATTTATATAAGGTTAAGGTGCAATTTTGATCCTGATTTTATTTCTTAGGTATAATTTTACTTCTGATTTTTTTAGTGATGTAATTTGGCTAAAGTACACATTTTGTTTTTTAACTTTATACAATGTTTTAATTTGGTCCCTTAACTTTTAAAAAATATACTTTTAGTCCTTTAACCCTAAATTTTTTTTTAAAAAAATTATGACATTAAGATCTTAAATGTTAATAAAATATTTTCAAATACTAACATATTAAGTTTAATTTTCAAAAAATTCATGATTGTTATAAAAAAATATCATTGAAGCCTAATGATTTTAGGGTTAAAGGACCAAATGTATGCTTTTTAAAGTTAAGGGATCAAATTAAAACCTTGTACAAAGTTAAAGGACCAAATATATACTTTAACCGATGTAATTTTAAATTTGATCCTTTTCTTTTTTTTGCACCCAAATATTGGGGATAAGATTGGACCTAAAAAATAAGATCTGCACTCAAAGATCAGGGTCAAAATTGCACCCAAAGATCAGGGGTAAAATTGCATCTGAAAAAAAGATCAAAAGCAAAATAGCATCTGAGAAATAAAATCAAGATCAAAATTACACCTTAACCCATTTATATATTTTATATTTAGACTAAAACATACATTTGGTCCTTTAACTTTGTACAAGATTTCAATTTGGTCGATTAACTTTAAAAAGTATACTTTTAGTCTTTTAACCCTAATTTTTTTTTAAAAAATAATGACATTAAAATCTTAAATGTTGATAAAATATTCTCAAATGCTAACATATTAAATTTAATGTTCAAAATATCTATGGTTGTTATAAAAAATCATCATTAAACCTAATGATTTTAGGATTAAAGGACTAAATGTATGCTTTTTATAATTAAGGGACTAAATTGAAACCTTATACAAAATTAAAGGACCAAATGTATACTTTAGCCTTATATTTATATATTTCTATTCCAGTATCCTGAAGTATTTTTCTAAGTGTATCCAACATCCTAAAATATTTTGTGATGTATCTAGCACTTTGAAATTTTTTTTAAGTGCATTCAGTACCTTAAAGTATTTTTTAGTGCATCTAGCATCCTAAAATATATTTTTTGGTACATCCAGCACCAAGGCAAAAAAAAAAAATTTCAGAGTGCTAGATGCACCTGAAAAATACTTTAGGGTGTTTAATACATCACAAAATATTTCGAGATGCTAAATGCACCTGAGAAAATATTTCAGCGTGTTGGATGCATCTTAATCCAATATAATTTAAGGACAAAATTAAACCGCAAAATATTTTATGATACTAAAGAAAAATGCTTTCGGCTACTATATGAATCTGAATCCTATAATTAATATATCAATTTAGCCTACTGCGTGAAGCGAACGCTATGGCTTTTTGGAATATTGTGAAAGGTTTAAGTCCACTGAAATGGGTTGTGATCTTTCATTTTCCATTTTTTATTTTTTGCCATCAAGAATATGCTTTCATATTGATTTTTGGGAAAATCTCAGAAAAAGCCCTTGGAATATACCAAATCCCAGATTGGGTCCTTAAATTTTAAAAATGACAGAATGGGTCATTGACCCAATCTGTCATTTGTGAAATTCAGGCGAATTGACAATTTTGCCCCTGAGCAAAAGTGAGTAGTTATTCTCTAAACAAATCTAGGTAACGCTTACACTGTTCTAGTGATTACAAGATTCGTTGTAGTTAATAATAAGGTACCTGATAATAATAAGATATCTGACTGTGAAAAAATGAGTAGTTATTCTCTACACAAATCTAGGTAATGCTTACATTGTTCTAGTGATTACAGAATTAGTTGTAGTTAATAACAAGACATCTGACTATGAAAAAGTGAGTAGTTATTCGCTACACGAATCTAGGTAACACCTAAACTCTTATAGTGATTCCTTGAATCATTACAGTGAATGAATAAATGAGGGTAAAATTGTCAATTCGCCTGAATTTTACAAATGACAGAATGGGTCAATAACCCATTCTGTCATTTTCGAAATTTAAAGACTCAATGTGGCATTTCCCATATTCCAAGGACTTTTTTTGGGATTTTCCCTTGATTTTTTTTATTGATTTATGCGTGTGTGAATTATACTGTATAACCTTCCCGGTCGTAATTATAAAACACCTTTTAAAAAGAGATAAATAGTCTTTTCTTTATCATAAATCACTATAGGATATTAATTAGATTCTGTCAATATATTACCCCGAATTAGAGTTATTAATTACGAAAAGAATGTAAAATTTTTTTTAAAAATTTCTTTAGATACGAGTAAAATAGATATTTTATTTTATTTTTAAATAGTTTTAATGACTTATACATACCTTTTATTCATCTTAGAAATGTTTAGAGGTAACTTATAATGGTAATGGAAAATGATCAGAGAAGTATTTCCTCCTGTTCCCATACAAAATATAAGTTATTTTCAACCATTTTCTAATAACTTCAGAATAGTGGTTAACTCATTAAATTTAGTATATATTAAAAAATTCAACTTTATCTTTATCCAAATTTATCTCACCTTTGTTTTCTCTCTTTCTCGATATCACCATCACTAATTTTTCTTTGCTTTTTGGATAAATATTTTTGAGAGCTCTTTCTCAGAAGAAACCTTACGATTGTTCCCGTTTTTGCCTTAGAAAAAATAAAAAATTTCAATTTTCAAACAAGGAAATAAGCAGTAATATAATATCTCTGAAATTGGAATCCACGTTTCTCTCTCCAACGTCTTATAAAGTCCAAGTAAATTTGTTTATAAAAAGCACCCCTTTTTGGTCATATCGGTTAGATGATGTGGTGACGCTTTGTGAAATAAAAATTTAAAATTTGGCCAAAAAATTTAAAAATATATACCGGATTTAACTGGTTGCTTCTTCTTGTTTTGTTTTTTTGTTTTTTTTTCGTAAAATGTTTGAAGCACACGTATTTGTATAGGCTTGTAAATTAAACGAGAATATTGCTCCTAAATAAGAAGGAAAAATCATGAAGCCGCACTAAAGTAAGTCTTTGCTTTTCACTCAATGGAAAAAGAAGCAGGTTAGGAAAAGAGAAAAGGAAAAAGGTTAGTTGGTTCTTTATTCGCCCACATCTCCCGTTTTATGGCAGTTTGGGGTCTTCAGATCACAGCTGAGTGTCCTGAGGCAAACAAGATTGGCTCAATAACTTCAATAACTTTCGTAACAGTGTCGATCTCTGCATAATGACTTTTATAGATCCGCACAAAAGCTTCTCTCTACTTTCCTCTATTTCTAATTTCATACATCTGATTCCTTTTCTTGTTTTCCTGCGCTATTACTGATATGATTATGTTGTTGCAGATTACTCTTTGGCCAAAACGAAAAGATTGAACCCCTGCAATGGCATATACAGTTGGAGGAGACTCTTCTTCCAAATCTGATCCTTTTAATTCAACTCCTAACTGGAAATATGATGTGTTCTTGAGTTTTGCAGGAAAAGACACTCGCTTGAAGTTTACGAATCACTTAGATGAAGCTTTCAAAAGAAATGGCATCAAAACTTTCAGGGATGATGTAGATCTTGAGAGAGGGAGAAACATAAAACAGAGTCTCTTTCAAGCAATTCAGGATTCTCTATGTGCAGACGTTATTATCTCAAAAACTTATGCAAATTCTAAATGGTGTTTGGATGAGCTTCAAGAGATTGTTGAGTCTCAAAAGACATTCAATGTACGGGTTTTTCCCATCTTCTATGATGTTGACCCAGCCGACGTAAGGAATCAAAGAAAACGTTTTGGAAAAGCCTTGGCTAAACGTGAAAAGAGGTTCAGAAGAAACATAACCAAAGTGCAGAATTGGAGAACTGCTTTGTTTGAAATTAGCAACTTGTCTGGTTGGAGCACCAGGGCATGTCAGTTTTTTTTTTTGGGGGTCATATTTTCCAATTTATTTACATTTTATATTTTTCCCTTATGATCTTTTCAATTCGTATGTGTTTCAAGGTTCCTGGATTTGGTGGCACTTTTATATCCCTTCACCTAGCAGTTGTCATCCTGCAATTTAAACTTACTCATTAACAAAATACCAATCAAACTTTTATTTCCTTTTAAATCTTTTAACGACATAATCAATTGTGTTCCACACCTAATATAAAAACTCTTTTTTTTTTCATTCCTTTTTTGGAAGAGCACCCCTAATATTATGTTATTTACAGCAAAATTATGCAGCCAACTCCTTAACGGTCTGTTGCTAACATTTCATTCCTTCAATATGATTATAAATTTAATCACGACTAACAATCATTATATATCACTCGCCCTTCGTTGTGAATTTTCTATTATTTATTTGAAACTGCTATAAGCATTTCCCCTAACTGCAGTTAGTTACTTTTTTAAGAAAATATATTTCAATAATAAAATCCCCATTGCCCACTATTTAATTATTTTCTCTGTAATACACGAAGCGTCTTTGTCATAAATTTTCTTTTTCATTTTTTTTTTACTTCTTGGAGATTTTGTGTAGCTTGAAATTAAAAGTCCATTTATGTTTTGTGCACAAGATCATTTAAGATTGTGAGGACTCTTTCCATTGTGGCAACGTACGGAAAATTGAAAGGCATTCATTTTGATATCTTAACGGGGGAAAAAAAAGAATCAAATTTCCAATGATGAACGGCTTAACTGAATAACAGTACACATTGATAGTTAATAAGTGATGAATTTATATCTATCAATAAAACGAAATTGTGAATAAGTTGATTTTTTTTGGGGTAAAATGATCACGTTTCTAATTTTAACATAATGAGCAGATGGATAAATTCTTATTTACTCAACAATTCCCCTGTTATACAAAAAATGTATTGTAGCTTTAGTAAACAATACTCGTTAAAAGTCACATTTTTCATTATTATTTTAATTTATCAGAACTATGTATAAATCATGTTAAATAATGATTTTTTTTTGTAGGCCCGAAGCAGATGTTATAAAAAACATAGTTCGAGATGTATGGACTTATTTAAGTTCCAAATTACCATCTTATGATGACAATCAGCTGATTGGGATTGAGTCAAGAGTACTGCTTTATATGATGGCAATCTTGGAGATTGGGTTGGATGATAGACATTTTGTAGGGATATGGGGTATGGGCGGTGTCGGCAAAACAACTCTTGCTAGAGTTGTTTTTGAAAAACTATCTCACAAGTTTTAAGTATGGTGTTTTCTTGCCAACGTCAGAGAAACTTTACTGCAAAGAGAAGGCCTAGTCTCCTTGCAAAAAAGGCTTCTTTCTCATTTCAGAGTAGAAGACATGAAAATTTCTGATGCTTATGAAGGAATGACGATGATAAGAAAGCTTCTCTGCAATAAAAAGGTTCTGCTTGTCCTTGACGGTTTAGATAATATAAGTCAATTAAAGAATTTGGCTGAAAGTCCACACTGGTTTGGTAAAGGAATCAGAATAATTATCACCACAAGAGATAGCCACCTGCTCACCTTATATGGAGTAGATGAGCAACGAATAGATCATATAAAAACCATGAATGAAGATGAATCTCTCCAACTCTTTTCAAACAAAGCATTCAACAAAAATCATCCTCCTGACAAAAATCATCCTCCTGACGAGTATTATTTGAAGTACTCTAAATCTGTGGTTAAATACGCTGGAGGCCTTCCTTTGGCACTTGAAGTTTTGGGTTCTTTTCTATGTGGACGGAGTAAGGCTGAGTGGATAGATGCTTTAGATAGGTTGAAGCAAATTCCTGATAATGATATACTTCAAGTACTTAAAATAAGTTATGATGGTCTAAGGAATGAGGAAGAAAAGACAATATTTTTAGATATTGCTTGTTTAGTTAAGGGCTTTTGGAAAAGCTATGTGACTCAAATTTTGGAAAGATGTGGTCTTCATGCAACAATAGGAATAAACGTCTTGATCCAAAAAACTTTATTAGTTGAAACGGTAGATTGCAGATTAGAGATGCATGATTTATTTCAAGAGTTGGGTAGGAATATAGTTAAGCAAGAATCTCCCAATAATGTTCGCAAGCGTAGTAGGTTGTGGAAGATTGAGGACATTAAGGAAGTACTGGAAAAAAACAAGGTAAGTGCCTTATTTTCTACATATATCATTGACATACATTTACTATTTTTAATATTATTTACTATGTTACCATTCTCACGCTATTTTTCTTTAAAATGACATTTTTATTAGGGATCTGAGGCAATACAAGCTATTGTTATGAAAGATTATTGTTATGGGGAGCCAGAAGTAGAAGTACATCCTGAAGCCTTTTCAAAGATGAGTAGCATCAGGTTATTTTACTTGACCAACTTGTTCGCGGAGATATTTGGTCACTCTTCAAATCGTAGATGGTTCATCTTACCAAGGGGACTGAAATCTTTATCTGGTGCATTAAAAGTTTTTTGATGGCCAACATTTCCTTTGGAAGTTCTTCCACTTGAAACTCCATTGCATAAAATTGTTGAGATTGAAATGCGTCACAGCAAAATAAAGCAACTTTGGAATGACAAACAGGTGCAATTGATGCTTCATGCATCATTGTTTATCTTGAAAATATATCTGTCATTGTGTTATTCATACATTGTTTAGTAAGACTAACTCTGTAATATTTTATTTGATTCTAGTTTATGACAGAGTTGAAATTTATCGACTTGAGAAATTCTCTCAATTTTATGGAAACTCCAGACTTCTCAAGAGTTCCAAATTTAGAACATTTACGTCTTAGTGGCTGCAAATCTCCTGTCAAGGTTCATCCCTCACTTGGACAGTTGAAAGAACTTATTGAGGTGTACTTGGATGGTTGTGAAAATCTTGAAATCCTACCAGAAAAATTAGAAACAAATTCCTTGATGAAGTTAGATCTTAGTGGGTGTGGAAAAGTTGCAGTGCTCCTAGAGTTTGGGAAAGGTATGAAAAAATTATCATATCTTGATCCAAGGAATACTGCTATACGTACACTTCCTGTATCACTTGGATCCTTAATGGGTCTTGGATATTTAGATTTACAGTGTTGCGAAATTCTTAATCTTGACGAGTTCTTGAAGACTCACATAACTCGTCAAATTGCTGGCTTGAATGTAACGTCATTAACAGAGTTATATTTAAAGTGGTGTGGCATAAATGATGGATCGATTCCTGATGATTTTCACAGTTTATCATCACTCATTGTATTGGATCTATTAGGTAATGATTTTGTTAATCTACCCAATGCTTGCTTCTTTGGTCTTTCCCGACTTGTCTTTCTTAACATGACTATTTCTTTATTTCAGTGTCGTGGGCGAACTAAATATGTAATCCCTTATGATGAGGAAGAAGAGGCCGGTATATATATGTTCAATGTATGTATGTATGTATGTATGTATGTCTCATTTTTGTGTCACATATGCTCCCTTCATGGGTAATTAATGTTAGTAACAATTTGGTATGCTTGCAGCTGTTTGAATGTGTTGCCCCGAGAGATTCCTATGCAATTATTCCTGGATGCTAAATGCCATCATGGTTTCAAGATAAAGAAGATTATCAGAAGCGAGGGAAACATGAATATGTGATAAAAGTGGACATACCTTGCTGCGATAGTAAATGGTGCGGAATTGCTGTTTGTTTCCTTATCTCAGGTCATGGTGACATGGAGATTGATTGGAGTAGTAAAGCTGCAGAAGATAATGATGATTATATAAACAACTTGGGCAGGCATTCGATTTTCGTCTTTAGTTATCCTATGGCTAACCAGTGCATAATGGTGTTGGAATTAAATGAGGAAACATGCCGGCGACACCTAAGAGCTCATCATAGCAATTCCCTTCACATTAAATTTTCAACATACGTGGATACTGATAAGATGGAAATAAAGGGAAGTGGGTGGAGAGTGATATGTAAAGAAGACATACAAAAGTGGTGCAATCTCAAGCTTTCCTGGAGAATGCTTCGCAAGTTCATTATGAAGCTGGACTAAGTTAGGTTTGTAAAATTAGCTAGGTTTGTAAAATCCTCGATTGCTGTAGAATTGTTGCGTCCTAACTTATCCTCTCTTTTTCTTTCATCACTAAAAACTATGATACCACTCTACCCACTTACAGTCAGCATACAAGTGGTCTGTAAAAAAAAACTTACCCTAGTGTCTTGGTTTCTAAAACTCAATAAAAGATCATATTTCCATTTTGGGATTGAATTATATATGTACAAGCCCTCGAGGACTCCTCTCTTGGGTATGTCATTGTAGATTTTTGACCTCTTGGTCTATCCCGGTAGTGATTTTCAGCAGCATAATCATATTACTTACCATAGTAAACAAAGAAGAAAAAAGGATAATAAAAAGAACTGGTTATATGAAATTGGACTAAGGGACATACTGAGTTGGTTTTTTTTTTTTTAAAAAAAAGTGCAGGGTCTCTAATTACTTATATAGAAGCTTACAGGGAAATGGTGAAAAGAAATGTCTGAATTCACTGGGCAAGATTGAAAGTGTATTTCGCTTTTGTTTAAATTAATGTAGGAAAAGCAACCAGGCTACTGTGAAATATATGAGCTAGAGAGGAGGATGAAGCAGAGAATATCAGATAGAATGAAGCTCGAAAACCTTCAATTAATTTGGATCAACCCTTCAACAGAACACAATTCCCCTGTTTCGAATTTTGGAAGAGAATAGGATCCAGGTTTCATACATAATTACAAGTTTAAGTTAGCACATAAGACTACACAACTTCGCTGAACAAATTAGATAAATTATTTAATAATGATTATACAGAGAATTAAAGAGACATAACTCAACGTGCGTGAGCAATTTAATCACATATTTAGTTCTACGTTGATACTAAATCAGGAAAACAATTAAACCACAAGGATATGGTTATTTCAAGAAGACGAAGAGACAAATAAATATAGTTGATAGTTGGACAAACATACCTCATGGTCAATTAATTCGGATTAAGACATTTGCAAGAATCCAAAAACATATCAGTGTAGATGAAAAAGTTTAGAAGAAGCAACCAGAATGTAATAACTAATGCCGCATTAGCTTAAGTCTAACTCTGTTAATGATATTAGGTTACCAAAGATATTGAATGAAGTTGTCAAAAGCTTCTACAAGCCCAGATGTTTGTTCAGAAACTCTTCGAGAGCGTTACATGTAACAGCAACCATATATGAAATTACAACTAAAAAAAGACAATGGAGTTATCACAATTCACAATGACAGAAGTAAAGAAAATAAAATGAATATGAGAAACATATTTCCTATTATTCCGTGCATCAAATTAATACTCATCACAAGTTATCAAATGGTTGAGAATGATTAATTAAAATTAATAACACAAGCAGCAACCTCTGCTTGTGGTAACCCATTCGCCCGCCATCCGCATTTCAACTGTGACCCTTAGAATATTGACAAGGGACTCTAAGTTTGGTTTTTATGATGAATTTTTTCCTTTCTTCTCGTTTTTTGTTCAGATACACGTACATCACACACACACACACACACACAAACCATCAATCATCACCTGTATTCTTAAAATCTTGTAATATCTAGTTCATTTGAAAATGAGTTAGGTATAATAATTTAGGATCTGAATATATTCAATTAATAAGATTTCAATAATATCTTGATTGGGATTTAAATATATTGAATTAAATGGAAAGCACTATAATTGAATAGGATTTCAACTAGAGGCTCAGATGAAAAAATTAATAATTAATTTTAAATTTGAATAATATCTTAATAGAAATTTAAATATATTAAATTAAAAGTAAATATTGTTTAATTTCATATCTAATTAAATATACTAGTCCGTGCATCACACGAGAAATTTCTAGTTGATCACTTATTTTACGCGGTGATATAATGCAATTATTATTCGAAAATTCTGTAAACCTTTATCCCTGACTTTCAGTTACTTTCAAGAAAAATATATTCTCTACAATATATTTTTCATAACTTCTCTTTATTTCATCACTTCTAAAGTGAAAATTGTGATACCACTTCTACGTACCTAAGATTGGCTCAAGTGTCTTGCCTTGTAAAACTCAAGAAAAGATCATATTTCCATTTAGGAGAGCTTGAGGACTCCTTGATATGCCATTATTGCACGTTTTTGACCTCTTGGTTTGTCGGTCCCAATAGTGATTTTCAACAACTTGCATAATCATATTACTTATCATAATAAAATAGAAAAAAGGGGAAAATAAAAAGAAACAGTTATGAAATTAAACTATAATCAGGATCTCTAAATACTTATATGCAAGCTTAGAGGGAAATGGCGAAAAGAAAGAGTTGAATTCAATGTAGGAAAGGTAACGATTGTGAAATGAAGGAGCTAGAGAGGAGAATGAAGCAAGAGATCGTTAAACATAATGAAGCCCGAAAACCTTCACTTTGGCTCAACCCTCTAGCAGAACGCCCCTCCCCTGTTTCAAATTTTGAAAGAGAATTGGATAACAAAGTTTCATAAAACTATACGACTTGACTGAACAAATTAGCTAGATGGATTGATTTAATATCGATGGTATCAAATAGCAATAGAAGATTTAGGCATGTAACATATTGATGTATGGATTCCAATGAAACAGAGCATATAAAAATATGGAGAACTAAAGAGACATAACTCAATTTGCGTGAGCAATTTAATCTTATATTTATTTCTACGTTGATACTAAATCAAGAAAATAATTACTGCATCCAGCTCTTAATATAAGACCCAATCGACTAATTCAAAAAAATTAAGAAAGTTACTAAAGTACTTTAAACTATTCATATTTATCATTTTTATCTAAATTAATTTGTCTCACTTATAAATTGATATATAATATAATGGTCTGGATGAATATTTTAGAGAGATCATGTAATATATGCTATAATTAAATAATTTAGTAACTTTCTTAATATCTCTAAATTAGTCAACTAGATCTTAACTAGAGGTAGGTGATATATCACAAGGATATGGTTATTTCAAGAAGATGAAGAAGACAAATAAATGCAGTTGATACTTGGACAAATATATACCCCATGGTCAATTCATTCGGATTAAGCCATTTGCAAGAATCCAGAAACAGATTAGTGTAGACGACCGTATGATGTTCCTCAAGAAGGGCAATGGTTTACTTGGTCTAATAATAGAGGTGGTCGCCAGAGGGTTTGGGCTAGATTGGATAACGCCTTATATAATCACCTTGGTTTTCCATGCTCTAAAATACCAGAATTGTTGTTTTCCTTAGAGCTGGTTCTGACCATACACCTATTTTACTTACTTCAGAAGAAAAGAATGGTATGAAACGAAGACCTTATTCTAAGTATGAAGTTATTTGGGAATCTTTTCAGCAGGCTCATGATATTATTCCTCAATGCTTGAATACTCACATTACGGGTTCTGCGGCCTTCCGACTTAAGACTAAACTAGCCAGAACTATGAGGTCTTTGGTTAATGGAGTGGAACAGAGGTTGGTTCAATAGGTGCCAAAATTCAGGAGTTAGAAATGAACTAACAGAGGTTTTACGATGACAGATTTTCTAAATCATCAAGAGGAGGAGATTCAATTGAGGCACAATTTCGAATTTCTCTATGTATGTCTGGAAACTTTATGGGACAACGTGCATAAATGTTATGGTTTAATCATGGTGATGCAAATACGAAATATTTTCATTCGTGTGTTAAAAGAAGGCAGGCGCCAAGAGTCTGACTCGAGTTAAGGATAATCAGGGGAATTGGATTGAGGATGAGCAAATCTTCAGTGAGCAAGCAGTTACCTATTTTTCCTCTATTTTTGCAGTGCCTGTTCCTTGGCTACAAAATATTCCTATTCCTGTTTTATCTTAATCTCATAGGAATTTTCTGCCACAAAGAATTTACGATGGATGAAATTCAGGAAGCGGTTTTTCAATTGCCAGCAGAGAGTGCTTCTGGAATAGAAGGTTTTTATGCTCGTTTCGTTCAAAGGAACTGGGATTTGTTGAAAAAAGATATTTGTTCTATGGTTCAGCATCTGATTTTTTGTTGAAGGAGCTAAATCGGTCCATTATCACTTTAATTCCCAAATGTTTGAGTGCTGTCTTTTAGGGACCAGAGGCTTATAAGCTTATGCAATGTCAGTTATAAGATCATTGCAAAGCTACCCGTAACGGTTTGCAATCTTTTTCGGGGATTATATTGCTCCATAGCAAAGTGCGTTTTCAAAGGGGCGTTTGATCTCTGATAACTTTTTGATTGTTTCTCGAGTTCTTCATTAAATTCACTGCATGAGGAGAGGGAACACTTGCTGGGCTGCTTCAAAAGTTGACTTCACTAAGGCATATGATTCCATGGCTTGGGATTTTCTTGAATATACTTTAAAGACAATGCAGTTTCCTGAGGTATGGGTACGTTTAATCATGCAGTGTGTGACGTCTGTATCCTATCAAGTGAATTTAAAAGGTGTGTTTTCTAAACATTTTCTCCCACAAAGAAGTCTATGGC